ATTCTTGAGCCAAAGTGCTAGAGGAGAGAACCTCGAACAAACCATCTGAGCAGCTGTTGGGGACAAGCCTGTATTCTAAACCCCCAATAACCCTCAGGTTAATGTCTAATTACGGTATTACGACGGCCTGGCTGAGGTTTCGGGAGAATTCTCCAAAAACACGTGGAATAAGGCCAACAGCTGGAAAGAGCTCGAGACTCCACTCCGTGGAGAATTGACTGCGAAGAAAAATCGTCGCGTAACGACAAGAGAATGCAGTAAGGTGAAAAAAATCAGCGAAGTGAGACCCTTACCACTTGTGTCTGTGCCCAGATAGAGACCTGTTCCTTGGTAACCGAATTGGATATGGATACGACGATGGGACGTAGGGGATGCCAGACCACATCAAGCAGGGTCTCTCCCTTCTGGCCATGCAGAATCTTGACGAGGGTACCGCTAGCCCGTTCCCAGATATAGATCGAGTGCTGCTTCATGGAACCAGCACAGACGAACTCACCGTCACCAGAAAAACAACACTTTCGCCAGTGGTGCCTAGACGGGAAATGGCATATATACAAACTTAACACTATACTCAAAAGTAGCAAGTAGCAAGTATTGCTTGCTTTCAATTGAGACCATGGAAATAGAAAAGTTACACGGCTTGACGCCAAACATACCAAATAACACTGAAAGGCCCATTAACAAGCTGAATCAATAGGATCGATGCAGTGCAAAAAAATACGAAAAAGTGCTATACAAAGAATGGATTCAAAGTAGTAGCACAAATTGTTAGCCAGCTTAGGATAAAGAGTCACTTGGTAGATAAAAAATAAACAGGAAGAACAGAATCATAGACGCACCCAGTAACCAGGTCTCGGAGTTTCTGTACTGGTTCGGGATCAGAAGATTCGATTGCGTCGGAACAGTTGTAAACCCGGATAATACGGTCAGCACAATTGAGCAGAAAGAATCTGACCGGAGGGGAGAGAACAGTGAGAAATACGTCAAAATAAGTAAAATAGTCCTTGGAAGATGAGTTATGTGACTATTTTTGTTGAAACTGAAGGTGTATAGCTAAAAGCAGCTGAAGCTAACTCTTTACACAGGCAGGCACAAGCTGCTGCAGCGACCAGGTCTTGACAGATAATATTTGCCTCACGGACAAGCGAAATCGACGTCCTGGAGACCACGGACAGATTTCTCCATGCCGTTTTAACTCAAGGAAGAGCTAATACCAGACGCAAATCCCAAACAAACGCAAAAGCTATCTTAACTGGTCCACGTGACACCGTTAAATCAGACAAGTCACCCAGGTCGCAATAACTACACATTATAGTTAACAGTTTGGGCGCGTTTTGGCACAACTCCGGACGCGCATTCATGTCAGTCTGCATGATTGCACCAAGTAACGGGCGACGATCGAATGTGTGGGTTTACCAATTAAACACCCAGTTACGTCATTTGGGTAAGCTTAATTAAACTACTTCTCGAGCATTTCCTTCAAGCCTCCCTCAAGTGCCACTGTTTGGGTTAGTGTACGGGTTAGAGACTAGTGGCTAGACATTTGACACGAGTGTAGGCCACCGATGTTGTCAAGTTCAATCATATCTTCGGTCGCGGTCAGCACGAAAGTCGGATTTAACTATATATTCTTCACACTGTCTCCTGTAATTTTATTCTTCATCACGAGTTGGGATTCATTCGTCTAAAATATTTTACAAATGCCCTTACTCTTAATTCTTCCACCCACATACGACGCCTAATTTCCAGTAGTTTAAATTGCGTGCTGGCGTTTTTAAATTCTATTGGCATGAACGTGACGGAAAAGAAGTAGTCGGGACCGTTAGGATAAGAACTTTATTCGTCTAACGTTTCGCATTCATGTTCGAACCCATTATCAGGGCTAGTATCAGACATGGAACTGATACTGTTTCTGATGAGAGTTTCGAGCGTGGATCCGAAACGTTAGGCGAATAATGTTCTTGTCCCAGCGATTGCGTCTAGTTCTCAATTTTCTTATATATATATTTTTTCTTTATATATAGGGGTGACTTTGTCTCCCTTTTCCTGAGTGGGGATATACATTCGATTATTCCCAGTTAAGAACACGTATGGAGATGAGCAAGCAAGCACCACACCAATTACACCCACCACTGACGAAATCGTCAACGATGCGTCTTTACCGCTGGTCCGTAAGCCCAAGCTCCTTGGCGTCCGTTTAGATCCTCTCTTCACGTTTGCGGACTATGCGGGGGAGGTCACAAGTAATGTGAGCCGATGCACCAAGGTCCTCAAGGCTCTTGCGGGCACATCCTGGGGCT